GGTTTGCGAGCTAGGTATTGCTGAAACGAAAGTCAATTTTCTATTGACATACCAATGCAGGTAGATGCGCTCGGCCCTCTACCCTTTGTAATTAAACGTATAAACTATCAGTAATAAAATTCGATACTCTTTTGGCCAACTTTACGGGATTTGGGACCACTGTGCAAAGGCGTTAAATTTATTAGTTCAACCGGCAATGTTAATAACAGAATCCAGCACAGAAAGCGACATATCTGTTAATGAATATGATTCCGATGATTCTGCTTGAAACTTAGCAGTATATATGTAATTGGCGTAAGATGTTTTGGAGTCATTTCATTTAATAAATGCAATTGAATATTTATTTGTAATTTTTCCTTTAATTCGTAATCAGCAACCTCAGAAACCACTATGTATCAAATAGGTGATTCCGACATTTTTTGCGCATATGTGTGAGCTATATCTGAGCCGCCATTTTGTTTTTTTTAATCATGACTTTTGATTCGTAATCAGCGACCTTGATAACCCTTACCTACAAATTTTTAGCTAAATTGAAGAACTCCTTCATATTTTGGTCAATTTTTCGGCATTTGGGACCACTGTGCACCGGCCGGATTCGCGGGAGTCATGCCTAGTTTACCGATGCCAAATTAAATGGTGAGAGGTTTTTCGTCTAAAGCTGTACGTTAGTCTGCACGAGCCCGCTGTTTTGAAAGCATGAGAGTGGGAGGGGCACTCTCGTAACCGTTCCGCCGCACCTATCCAAGTCAATGACCAGAGTACTGTGTCGACCACCGCTCCCGCTGTTCTTACTCGGGCCCTACCAACGTCGCTAACCTTCTAGCAGCGGCGGTAGGGTATTGCCACAGCCCGCTCCTAATTCGGCGATCACCCTATTTTTTTTTTTGTATCTGATAAAAGAGGGGGGCCTCTTGGTAGTAGTGCCGGACTCTTACCGGCTAAAACCCCACGATGACCGTCCCCCGGCACTGCGGCGGGGGACCGGGAACTCTAGTGAGACATCACAGAGTCCCCCGCCACGCCTTGCCTGTTGGGGCTCAACCGGGAGGAAGGGCGACGTATCCTTCCCCCCTCCCCCTGATTTCTCCGCCACGGACGCCAGGTCACCCGACGCCCGCTGTCCCGGGGCTGTCACCGGTGCTCGGGCCCTTTGCACCACACACCTGCAGCCACCAGAAGCGGCCCGCCCCTCCCCCGGCCACAAACGAGGTGGCTAGAGGTGCACGCTTACGCGCCGCCCTACCTCTTGGAGGTCCCTCAAGATCTCAGGGCTAGTAGACGGGGCCAGGGGGCGAAGATCGCCTCGCCCTGGCCCACCTCCGAGCCCTCCCGCGCCGAGCGAGATGCGCGGCGACATAACTATCTCGCAGAAGGAGGCCACCACTTGTCATGTCCTCTTGCTGGCCACCATCTTGCCAACTACTGTGGCCAGACTGCGGCCACCACCCACCACCTACCACCCACCTATCCCAGTCAGTGACCAGGATACTGCGTCGACCACCGCTCTCGCCGTTCCTACGCGGGCCCTACCAATGTCGCTAGCCTTGTAACAGCCGGTAGGGTATTGAACCTCCTTCCCTGTCAACCGTTATCACCGAGCGCATTGTCCGCCGACCGCTCGCGCACCGCGCTGGCACCGCCGAACGACCGACCGCGCTCCCCGACATCACCGGTCTGCCCGGCCGTTTCGCCGAATCCGTGATTGTCCGCCGTTACATATTAAGCGTTGTGCTCACCCGCGTCAGATATTAAGTATTGTACACCGTTAGTCCGTAAGCACCCTCCGTTAGCCAGTAAGCACATGTACGTCCGTCGTTCTCTAGATAGCCATGTCTGTCCGCACTAGCCTGTACCATTTGCGTAAATAAAAAACACTTTTCAATACCAACATCGCCTCCGTCACTCACCCGCACCGAACCCTGGCTAGCCGGTCGGCAAGCGCTACCTTCCTCGACGTCCCCCGAACCGAATCGAACCGTCACCGGGGGAACGGTTACAAAGTTAATAAAAAGCATAAACGTGATTAAAAAATATTGTTTATGTCACTCCTCTTTGTTTAAATAGTAAAATTGTATTAATAAATTTTATATTACTATAATAGAATTATATAAACTCAATATAATTCCAGCGTTATCCCTCGATGAAAGAACACTGTGGCACTAAACATTGATTGAAACTTGATTACACTGATTGAAACTTGATTGATTATTGGTAACAACCAATAACTTTATACTTTGAACCGTTCAGTACGAGTCTCTGAACGAATCTGTCTTTCTTTGGAAGAAATTTTGAGTTGCAGGTGGATAAAATTAAATCGATTTGACGATTGACGATCACGATTGAAATGAATAACGCTGGAAAGAGACGAGCGGTGCGATGCCGTTGCAATATCACACCGCTTGTCTATTTCTAGCCTAATCTTGTTAATCATGTTAATCGCACATGGCGATTGACACCTACCTTCATCTTTAATCGCTCACGACGATTAACGTGTCATAATTATTTAAATTGGCTCGTTAAGAAGGTCATGTTCGTTTCCGTTCGCGAACGTCTTTTAAGATTAGCGTTCATAGCAGTAAATAACATAATGTATGAAATTAGTAGATAATGTTCTACTCAAATATACGGGGTATTTTACTCTTAAGGAGCATATACATACATACATATGTATGTGGCGGCTCACATTCCACTCGGAATGTTGGCGCCTAGGAACGTCAGGCGGCACTGCAAGCGTCAGGAAAAAGGTTTCCACTCTTGATAGAAAAAAAGCAGAACAACAGAAGATAGACAAAACAACTGCCGTCCTCGTTCAGATTCGCTTGCGACTGCTCGTACTAAAATAAAAAGATTATTATTGTTATTTATTGTTATCCATTGTGTTATTGTCATGTTATTGTTATTGTTAAAAATATATAAACTCTCTACACCGAACGATCACAAAATATATACGTGTGCTCGTGGATTAATTCCACCAACGGAGAGAGCCACATGTATGCTAGGAACCGGAAAATTGTATAGCCTTTGCCATATAGCCATTTTTTAATAGCAGAGGAAAATTTTAAAATCTGAAAAAATTTGAGAATACTGTATGAGAGGAATGACCGAAACGGGTCGACATCGCGTTGTTTAAAAGTCGTGACCTAGACTAAACCCGAGCAACGAACTCGGAAGGCCACGGCCTTCCGAAACAGGAAGCGTATGTGAATGAGAAAGAAAGAGCGAACGAGAGAAAGAGAGAATGAGCGCGGACGACGAATAGAAAAAGTGTGAACGTCAGGAAAGGAATCGTCTTTTGAGAGTCTTGCGGAAATACCCACGAAAGTGGCAATTATACTTTATTCCAATTCAACACGGCTCTTTTATTTACCCTTCCGCACCCTGTCCCTACAATAGTGTCCTATTTCTCCTCTTTGATTAGTAATTTAAAAAAACGCTGACTCATTAAAATCAATCATATGAAAATGAAACACCGCCCCTGCTGAAAATAAAAGATTGGAAAATTTTTCTTCTATCAATAAAGGAAACTCTTTTACTTAATCTTTTTCGAAGGCAAAAGCAAAAAAGTCGATTTCGCCACGACAGCAATGGTTGGACGCGACGCATGGACGTTCCCCCGAAATAGGGAATCGGTTTTTGTTTTCCAGAGAAGCGAGCGAGGCGATCGAAAACGCGAAAAGCGTTAGCTGATTAACGAAGAGAATCGCAAGGTTCTGTAAGAAATAAAACGCGTCACGCGTGCCGTAGTTTCAGTGTTGGTACAATCACCACTACATAAACCTCTGACATAGGTATTCGTACGCCTTACGTATCACCATGTCACCGACAGTAAACCGTTGCAGTGACAAATCCCAATCTGTGTATCCCTTCCAAACTAACGAGAACCAAAATATCCATTCGGAAAATAGCCAAATAACCAAAAAATTCAATATGACCGAAACCAAAACCTCATACGCCAACATAACAAAACATCAATACACACCAACCCAAGATCAAGCTATTATTCTGCAATCAATCGATGGAATCATCATTGAGGAGTATGTCCGGGCAATCGGGAACATAACAGGACCCAAAGCTATAAAATATCTATCAAGGATCTCCAATGGAAGAATCTATACAGGGTGTTCGGCCACCTATAGTAAAAATTTTAATGAGCGATAGTAGAGGCCAAAATAAGACGAAAATCAAGAATACCAATTTGTTGATGGAGGCTTCGTTGCAAAGTTATTAACATTTAAAGTTCCGCCTGTAGAATGACAATCCGCTAAACAGCTGCGTTCGCGCGGACGGTTGCGGCAGGCCAGTGCTAATGGTTCTCACGCAGCATGAAAAATTCTGCTTATCGACATTATCGACAGCCTTAGCTTTTTGTCCACTTATGGGAATGCGAACACCTTACGTTGAATAAGATTCAACCTGTCTTATAAAAATCCAGAAGGACTATCAAAACTCGCCCGACGAGATTTTCACAGAAAAAGGGTGAATGCCAGTTCCAATACACAATGTTGTGAACAAAAATCACCCACATGAGATTATACACGCCCCACGATTGTCCACAGTGTCCACAAGTATCCACAAATAATCCTTTCAGGCACTAATCACTATGCAATTAAATAAACACGTACCGCGATTACGTTATTCGTGAATGTCTATGTGTACGTGTATCACGATTCTTCCAAGTTACTTACGAATAAAACTGTTATTAATTTTTCAAATACACTTCAATTTAAAAATGTAAACAGGAATTTAATAAGTATTCGCTGATTGTTTATATCACTGTATTTCTTACATGCTACTTAATACATAACTGAATCAAATATGTCTAAAATGTGTCGCGTGAACAGTGGCGGATTTAAGGAAAAAGGCCCAGGTGGCAAACGTCCTGAGGGGCCCATTTTTTCGGGAAAAATGAAGAAATAGTTTACTAAAAACGGGCTAAGTGTAGTAGTACAGATGTAATTATATTACTATGTAGTTTTATACATGTTTACACATGATACTTATTATGTAGTTTTAAATCCTCGCCTTGCTTTCTGTTCAGCAAATATTTCGATTGTCGAATACAAATCAATTTTATTCGCAACTGCTTTTTCGATATAAAGAATACTGAAGTCATTAAGGGTTTCCTCAGCTAGAGTGGCACGACGATATTCTTTGATTCTTTTCAAAGAGTTCATGCCCCTTTCAGCGCTCGCTGTGGTAACTGGTAATGTTAGGTACAATCTGAACAGACTACAACACTCTGGAAAGCTGTCCATCAAATTATGTTTCACAATAAATCCCAAATACTGCAAAGGACTGTCATTTGAAGAATCATGCTGTTGCGCGAAATACAAATCAGCGAAACTGGACAATTCATGTTTGAGATCAGTTGTAAAGAAATCAGTATATTTCTCTAACAAAATACTTGTGCTGGTCTCAAAATCACTTGGTTTCATGCTGTGCAGTATTTCAGGCATTAAAAAACCAAAAACGTTATTAATCTCTTTGAAACCGTTTGCACGATCCTGTAATTCGCAACACATTGTATCGAGAACTTCGTAATAACTGGCTCGATGCTTGTCAGGCGTCTCTAAAACACAGTCAACGCTATTTTCACCAGGCATTTTCTTAATTTTCCGTTTTCTTGCAACTGGAAAATCAGCACGTTCCAAGCTCATTTTTCCCCACTGACTTCTCGCTTTTGTGATGAAATTATTGTAGGCGCTTTCATCCCTTAAATCTCTCATTTTCTTCAATGCTGCTGAAGTGCAATGCTGCGCCGTTATCAAGTTTAATTCTTTCTTCTGCAGTTGAATTTGCGCAACACTGATTATTTCAAGCACAGAATGTCACCATAACAAATTCAGAAAAAATAACCAATTTAATGAAGAAAGCAATGATTGAGCAGTCATTATGTCATCTCCAGTAGCTGCGTCCCTTGAAATTTCCTTCTCCAGACAATCCACGATGCACTCGAAATTTTGGATGAATGCTTCCATAGCTTTTATACGTGCAGCCCAACGGGTTGTACTTAAACCTTTAATGTGGAGTACTCGTTCGCGTGATTTGTGAGCTTCATCGTATGATAATCCGTCTTCTGTGTCTGCATCGGATTCGAAGATCTCTTTTTTAAGGTCTTTTAAAAGCTGAATGCCAAAACTGTTGGAGTTCCGTGATGGATTTTTGCTTGCTTCTAAAAGTTCATCCCATCGTCTGTGAGAATGCGCAAAGTAATTGTAAATTCTTTGGATTATCGCAAAAAACACTTTAATCGAAGAACTCGCATTTTCTTCCGCAGCATGCACCAAAACCAAATTTACATCACCGACATATTCCTTCATTTTCGCTTGCAAACCACCTTCACGTCCTGACATTACCGCTGCACCGTCATAGGCCTGACCAGACAAATACTTCTTCTGGAAACCATATTTATCAAACAATATGGCGGTTATAATATTGCAAATAGATGTAGCATCCCCTTTTGTCAGTTGAACGAAGCACAAAAAACTCTCTTTGATACATATTGCAGACGCAGTTGAACCTTCATTCTGAATAACAATGTATCGTAACAAAATAGCCATTTGGTCCAAGTGAGCAATATCCGTCGTTGAGTCAGCGATAAACGTGAAAAATTTGGCACCTTTACATTCATCAACAATAAACTTTCTGGTCTGATCAGCTAATGTACTGAGTAACTCATATGTTATTGTTTTACTTAAATATTTGATTCGTTCTGGTGATTCAAGATGCGCATGTAGAATAGGATTATGGCGAGAAATCAATTTAATGATACTCAAATAAATACCGGGATGCTCAACCTTTTGTAAATTTTCACGGTGACCACGAAAACCAACGCCCAAACCAGATAAAGTTTTCACAGTGTCAAAAAGTATATTCAAAATTGCGTGCCATTTCTTAGCTTCTTCGCTTATTTGTTGTTCGAGTTTATGACGAATATCATTTTTCTGGAGAAATGTTGCAGCAGCGACTGCATTGCTGAGATGGGCTTTACTTAAACTATGTTGTGTGGCCGATTGATGACAATGTTTCCAGTCTGTGAAACCAACGTACCAAATGCTTTTTTTCGCAATTTCATCGCCAAATAACCAACAGTAGTGACAATAAGCATAATTTTTTGTTGGTGAATAAGATAACCAGGGACTGTAGTTATCCTCCATGAAAGGCTTTTTTTTGTTCTTATAATAAAATGAAGAGTTGAATCGACGTTTGTCACTCGATTGTTTGAATTCCCCGCCAGGCATATCACATTCTTTAGGCTGGCAAGGGCCTGTCAACAAAAGAGCTCTGATTTGATCCACATTCAAAGAAATCCCACTAGCAATATCATAAAGACCTTTATCATTCTCAAATTCAAAAATTTTTGGTGTTGATCCAGTAGGAAGCACAGATGTTGTTGCTGGTCGATATACCTTTTCGTTTGATATATTCATAGACGTAGAATTTACGGGGTCACTTTCATTAAACTTTTCTGCAACATAGCCTGTTCCACTGGACGTTGCAATGACAGGTTCATTATGAATAGTAGATTCGCCTTGACTGATCACAGGTTGATTGGTTGCTTCATTTACAGTCGCATCTTCACATTCGGCACTATCTTCATTTTGGTTTTTAGTAGAGATAACAGAACTACTTTGAAAGAATTTTCGGACTTTTGCTTGTCTTGGATCATTCGCTGCCTCTTCCATCTTCCATTTCTCTTTCTCTTTCCTCTTCATAAATCCACTCTTCGGTTTCTTATCCTTATCCATTATTTGTGAGGCCTTATTTCCACTTGCGATTAGTCGCGAAACTACAATATCCTCTGGCGTATATGGCACGCGACTGACGGTTCCGCGACTGCCGGTTCCGCGCGGTTCAAACAAAAGAGTTTGTAGCCGCACGACACACATTGTTAGTCGCAAGTGGAAATAAGGGCTGAGAGCAGAGATGGGCAAAATTTTTATTCAAATAAATTTCGTATAACGAATGAAAGTTAAAAAAATTATTCGTCATGTGTCGAATAAAGTTGACTCGGGTTCGTCGCATAAAGTAAATTTTTTTATTCGTCGTACGTTTTAATTTTGGCGTCGAATAGATTTTTCAACTTCAACTTTAACTGCAACTTCAACTTTAACTTTAACCTTATTCGACGCCGAATAATTTTCTGGCGCGTGTTCAAGCCGCAAAGAACCGGGGATTGAGGCCTGGCGCGCGCATTACAATGTAGTATCGCCCAATAACGGTCCTCGGCAGGTCAAACACGCGCTAGAAAATTATTCGGCGACGAAAAAAGTTAAAGTTGAAAAATTTATTCCATGCTGAAGTTGAAACGCTCGACGAATAAAAAATTAACTTTATTCGTCAAATAATCTACGGTTAAAGTAATTTGTATTTGATACGTTTTTTAAATAATTGTTTATTTAGTCAATGCCCAACTCTGACTCGTGGTGACTTTGCGTGGTGACGGGGGAGGAAGGCCGGGGCGCAACTACACCTGAAGTCCTGAACGGCACGCGTCGAGGCAGCCGTTTCCGGATGAAAATTGGAAACCCCGAACGCTTCCAGAAGGATCGGGGGTCAACTGGGCAGCCGGTAAACGAATGGGCATGATAGAGTGAGAGTTTTGGAGCGGAAGAATGCAGAACGTGCAAGCGAGACTGACAAGGAACTATCGCGAACGGTCCGGCTTCGATTTTGATGAAACTTTGTACACTTATAAAGCAGCCAAAAATAATCGACACGTATTTTTTTTTAGCTGCGGTAACTCGAGTTTAAGAGGTGAAACCACCCCTTGAAGTTTTGGCTCGAAACGGCTATCTCGAAAACGGAAAGAGATACAAAAAAATTGTTAATGGGCGAGGTTGATGGTTTCTTATGTACAATAACATGGTGTTAAAAAATTTAAAAAAATACAATTTGTTTATAACAAAAAAAAATTTATTAACTTAATTTTTCATTTTATTGAAATTTTCATAATGACAAAAAATGACGAGCATTTTATTCCAAATCCATTGGTATGCGATTTTTTAAAATTTCCTCCTACAGTTTTGCAGATTTTGATGATTTACATCTTGCGAGCACATCCATTATGGTAGTAGCCGTTCTAACTTTGATTTTAATGAAGCACTGTAGGCTTGCACTACTTCTAGAGGACAAAATCGGGAAAAATACAAGAATACCAATTTGTTGATGGAGGCTTCGTTAAGAAATTATTAACGTTTAAACTTCCGCCCGTACTGAATTTTTTTCTCCGAAATTCCCAAGATTTCGGGGGAATGTGTAATGACCAAAAGTGATTGTAATCGACCCCTGCAACCGAAAATAATTTTTTCAGAATGGTTTGAAATTTTTTAATTTTGTTGAAAAATTTCACACATTCTCGAATTTTTTTCTCAAAAGTGCGTAGGACTTCGGGGGTATATATATTGACCAAAAGTGATTGAAATTGACTCCCACAACTGAAAATAATTTTTTTAGAACGATTTGAAATTTTTTTTTTTCGCTGAAAAATTTATGCACCTACGTACGCCCTGTCGATTTTTCTTAAAAATTCGTTTTTCATTTTTAATAATTTTGTTTGACGCCCTACAAAAAAGCTGGGCAATACTTTTTTGTAGGTACCTGCGAGCTCTACTTCAGAAAAAAGTTTCATTGAAACATATTCACTATTGTAGGAATTATGGCTGTTTGAAGATTGGACCATTTTTATGGGGTTTTTCTCATTTTGCGGGGTCAAGGATCAACTTTTTGCATATTTTTGCGATTTCTACGTATTCTTGATTAAAATACGCGTCGTTTGCATTTTTGAAAATTAAAATCCTTCAATCCGTTCAGAAGTTATGACATTTTAAAGATCCGCATGAGGGATCCGTCGGACAACATTTCTGGCCATAAATTACATTTTCGATTAGGAATTTTTTTCTCGAAAGTGCGTAGGATTTCGTGGGTATATGTATTGACCAAAAATGATTGTAATTGGCCCCCGCAACCGAAAATAATTTTTTCCTGGAGGATTTGAAATTTTTTAATTTAATTTTTTAATAACTTTTTAACGAAGGCTCAATCAACAAATTGATATTCTTGATTTTCGTCTTATTTTGGCCTCTAGAATCTCCCATTAAAATTTTTCCCTATGGTGGCCGAACTTTTCCAAATCCATTGGTATGTAATATTTTAAAATTGCCTCTTACAGTTTTGCAGATTTTTATGATTTACATCTTGCGCGCACATCCATTATTGTAGTAGCCGTTCTAACTTTGATTTTAATGAAGCATTGTAGGCTTGCACTAAATTATATAGTAACAAGTAACAAGTAACAATAACAGTAACAAGTTTCTTAACAGCAATGAAAAGATTTTTTTTTATGCCCACCTATGACATTGTGGCAAAGGGGGAGCGATTTATAAATTATAAATACATACAGTGTGTATACCAGGAGATAAAGATACACTTATTATTCTCATGATGTACTTGCTTTAAAATACAAATTGAATAAATAAATATTGTCATTTCTGCGGCTCGCCTATCATGCAGTTTACGCACGTTATCTAAATCTTCACTGTTGTGAAAGCATTCTGTGTAATTTGTAAAATAAAAATACGTGTCAAATGAGATTAGTATGTGCATCTGTATCTCTGTTGTTATTAACATTCTTTAAAATCGAGACGGTTTTTGTAATAAACATGATAAAATGGGTATATTGAAATGGAGTTTGTATTATACCTTTTGATAACGTGACATATCGTAAAGTTAATTAAATTGATTGCCCTTGTCATGTGAAAATAATATTTGTTGGTAGATAAGTGGGAGAACTTGGATATATACAGGGTGTTCGGCCACCTCTAGCAAAAATTTTAATGAGCGATAGTAGAGGCCAAAATAAGACAAAAATCAAGAATACCAATTTGTTGATGGAAGCTTCGTTAAAAAGTTATTAACGTTTAAAGTGCCGCCCTTACTGAATTTTTTTCTCGAAAATGCGCAAGATTTCAGGGGTATGTCTATTCACCAAAACTGACTGTAATTGAACCCTACAACCGAAAATAATTTTTCCACAACGATTTGCAATTTTTTAATTTTCTCGAATAATTTCACACATTCTCTATTTTTTTTCTCGAAAGTGGGCAGGATTTCGTGGGTATGTCTAATGACAAAAACTGATTGTAATTGACCCCCGCAACCGAAAATAATTTTTTTAGAACGATTTGACAAATTTTTTTTCGCCGAAAAATTTCAGCACCTACTCGATTTTTTTTCTCGAAAGTAGATAGGATTTCGGAGGTATGTGTACTCACCAAAAATGATTGTAGTTGACTCCCGCAACCGAAAATAATTTTTCCAGAACGATTTGAAATTTTTGAATTTAATTGTTAATAACTTTTTAACGAAGCATCCATCAACAAATTAGTATTCTTGATTTTCGTCTTATTTTGGCCTCTACCGAGGTGCCGATTCTGGGCATTTAAACGTTGCACTTATCCAGCCAATCTTTTGTTGCATATATCCAGCTTTTACTGTATTCGGAAAGATGGTAAATATTAATCCTATTAATGTAATAACTTTACTGTCTGCTGCGTTTGTTGAGTGGAACCAGGGACCCATGCCAATTAATAGCGCAGAAGAAAATTTAAGGGATGTATTATTCGATTTAATTGTAAGAAGTGTCGAAGACACGGCATTCCTGGTTGAACATGAAACGTGTGTTGAAATGGACGGGACGCCTATCGACCAAGAAAATCAGGATGCTGATTTGAACTGGTTGTGGGTAGATGAAGAGGAGGAAAATAGGACACCGAATATTCCAAACATATACGAACAAGACGTTGTATGTCATTCGAATAAGGAATACATTCCATTCGAATATAAAAGGAAAGCTGTGGCGTACTGGAACAGCGGGAAGTCGAAGCGATTAAAATTAGACACCGTACGTTCCAAATTCCGTCACGTGAAATCCGAAAGAATGCTTCGTAAATGGGCTTTACAAGTTGAACAAGGTGGCACAAAAAAGGAAAAGATAAAACGTATTGCAGAGTATACATTTAATAAATTTATGGAAGCTCGGCAGTTAAGAGTAATTGTGCATGAAGTAGATCTACGGCGATGGACTTTACAAGCGAGGGACATAGAAAATTTACAAACATTTAAAGCCGGATATACTTGGCTATATACTTTTAAAAAGATGTTTAGATTAGTGTCCAGAAAAATTACCAGATTTGTAACCACAAATATGGTAAATCGAGAAGACGATATTCATTTGCAATGCAGCGCATTCGTGAATGAAGTAAAATCATATACAGGGTGTTCGGCCACCTCTAGCAAAAATTTTAATGAGCGATAGTAGAGGCCAAAATAAGACGAAAATCAAGAATACTAATTTGTTGATGGAAGCTTCGTTAAAAAGTTATTAACAATTAAATTCAAAAATTTCAAATCGTTCTGGAAAAATTATTTTCGGTTGCGGGGGTCAACTTCAATCATTTTTGGTGAGTACACATACCTCCGAAATCCTATCTACTTTCGAGAAAAAAAATCGAGTAGGTGCTGAAATTTTTCGGCGAAAAAAAATTTTTCAAATCGTTTAAAAAAAATTATTTTCGGTTGCGGGGATCAATTACAATCATTTTTTATCATTATACATACCTCCGAAATCGTACGCACTTTCGAGAAAAAAATTCCTTACTGAAAATCCAATTAGGTGCCTAAAGGACAATGTTAAGTCATAGAGGGGTTTACTGACCCAAGAGCGTACAGCCTATGCTATACACCGTTG